TTAGTCTGTTTGTAACTTTCTAAAATCAAAGTTTTAATCGTACTTTTGCTGTTCATTCAAAAAAAGTTGTTTTTTTTAAGTTCTTAAACTTATAGTTAAATTTTTCTTTTGCTAAGGATTGAAGGGAAACTCACCTGGTGCTGTCAGACTTGTTGATCCAAAGGTTTCTAATAGCTGAAAAGCAGTTAACAAGCAATTTCCGAAAGTGATTAGAAAAGGAAGTATGCAAACTCAGTGTCCTTTCAAAGGTGCCGACTGTAGTTCGAGCAAGATGACTATATTTCCTCATCTCCCAGAGCTCTAGACCTGCAGGAGACTGCTATCTTGCAGCACTTGTGGGTGATCTCAAGTCCTCTCCTTGTCTGGAGAGGTTTGAAGAGCTGGTCTACTCACCGGCTCTCCATTCTTCACCGCAGTTGTCAGCTCTGCTTTTTGAGTAGTCATCTTCAGTCTGCCGTTTCTTCCTCCAGAAGTCCATAAACCAGGGTTTTGTGATGCTGACTTTTAATTGGGAAATGGTACAGGTAGTCCTCAGGTTATGACGGCAACTGGAACCGGGAATTCTGGGTCGTAAAACAGGATGCCACATGACTGCATCGCTTAGCAATGACAATTCTGGCAGTCCCAATTGCTGTCATTAAACAAGGATCATGCAGGTTGTTAAGTGAGAACCTCATGTGATCATGACTTCCAACTTCCTGCTGGCTTCCCCATTGACTTTACTTATGGGAAGCTGGCAGGGAACATAGCAAATTGTGATCATGTGACTGCAGCTCGCTGCAATGTCATAATTACGATCTGGGTGCTGAATGCCCAGATTGCAATCACATGACCACAGGGACACTGCAGTCCTAGAACTCTGAAGAGCTGTCATAAATCCACTTGTTCAATGCCATCGTAAATTTGAATGGTTGCTGAACGAATGGTTGTAACCAGAGGACTACCTGTATGCCCCTGTCTGCCATTTCACCAGGCTGCTCACCAGATCTTCAGAAAACTCCCCTACAGTCCTCTGAAAACTGACAGGATGCATCAGGGGCTTCAGGTGGACCAATCCAATCATCTTTCCTCTCTGTGTAGTGGGGGTTGCTCTGCAGTGCTCCATGCAATCAGAGAATGACCTGTCCATGACAAGGGACAAAGTTCAGTGCTCCCCATTTTCAAAGCATGTTGTGTCCATCCTGAGATCAAAACTGGATTTAGTGTGTGACCTCTCATGCACATCGAGCCTTCAAGAAGTTGAGTCAGGTCTGATTGTTATGATGGCCATGAACTCCTGGGTAGCTTTGGACTTCCCGCCATGGGAAAGTAAGTTGAAGTCCCCCAATATCACCAATTAGGGGAACTGCACCATCACCTCAACAATCAAATTGAGCAGCTCTGGCAGGGCTGCTGTTGTGCCACAGGGGGAGCAGTAGACAATCAGCAAGTCTATTTGGCCCCTCTGGGCCAGACACACAAACAAGGTCTCACATCCCATTACCTGCAGTGTAACCTCTTGATGCCAACAGACCCTTGCCGATGAAACAGCAGCTCACTTCCCCTCCCCAAGGATTGCAGGTGATGCTAAACCTGGGCAGATTTCTGAGAGAGGAACTTCCCTCTTTCCTCTCCCCTGCCCCTTCCTCCCAGGTTTCAGTATTACAGGCCCTCTCATCCATAGCCAAATCATGGATGAGGAAAGTCCTATTACAGACAGACATAGCATTAAATAACAGCAGTTAGAGCCCTTGGGCTCCAAGAATCTGGAACCCTGGCTCTCAGAATGAGAACTGAGAGATGAAGGAGGTGTCAGGCAAAGATGTCAAAGCTACCTTCCCCTAGGTGCAGACGGCTCTCAGTCTCCCACATACTTCTTTTTGCCTGTTGCAACCAAGATCCCATTCCCTCATAACTCCCTCCCCCATACCTTCCTAACCAGAATCTTTCCCCCATGCAGGAAGAAACTGAATCATCTACTACAGGGACTTTCAACAAAGGCCTTTCTTTGAAATGCCTTCAAACGGATTGTTGCTGGTACAACCAAACCAACAACTCTGAATAGTTATTCCATCTTCTCTGTAATCTAATATTTATGCGAGGGGGGGAAAATAACAGAATTGCCCATAAGAAAATATGGGAGCCGCAGAAGCTGATTTTGTTGGCACTCCTGTAAAACTTCATGAATGAAACAAAGTGATTGCCCATTAAAACCCTGGTCTGGAGGCATCTTTAAACTAAGAAATTGCAATGTTGGGTCCCTTTAAATGTGTTGCTAGTGCCCCCTTGTGCTTTATTAGAACAAGTTGAGGCTCGGTCTTCCTTTTTTACAAAAACTCTACAGAAGCTTTTGGACTCCATTGTCTAACAGTGCTGCTCAGAATGATCATTTTGTGATACATGCTGTAATCCACCAAAATATAAGGACCACTATCATAGATTAGGGACATAATGTTTAATTGTCCATTCATCTCACTATTGTTTACTCTGAAACATCAGGCTTTTAAAGATTTCAGAGATATTTTCCAATCCTAAGTAGAACTTTTTCCATGCCAAACCACTGCTTCCATACAGAGGTGTTTTAGCTTTTAGCAGTACCCATCAAAGTCTTCTGCCTTTTCCTCAGTTTTTAGCAGATTTTCCCTTGGGAAAAAACATGATGGGAGAAATAACGGAAGAAGACAGAAGGGTAATGTCTTCTGGAGCCCATATAGAATTTGTTTATAGAAAGTGGATGGGATATAAATGTTGTAAAATGAATAGCAACAAATAAAAATATAAATCAGTAAAATTCTGTGACTATGGCAGCGTGATTATGTCATAATATTCTTATTTAAAGGTTTTCTGCTTGCTCTGCCACTAAGCTTCTTTGTCTAATGCTGGTGGTTTCTCACTTCAATCCTCTGTGTTTATTACTATATCTGTTTGTAACATGCAGCTATTCTAAAGTCTACCGTGAGCTGGAGCAGACCATTCGTATGGCTGATGCACAAGAAGACCTTCGGTGGTTCCGCAACACCAGTGGTCCTGGGATGCCTATGAACTGGCCTCAGTTAGAAGTAAGAAACTGTCCCAGAATACTGCTTCCAAGGATGGCTGCACTGCCAAGCTATAGGTTATAGATTCATGGCTACTAATCATGATAGATATCTGGAGCTTCAGTGCTGAGGGAGCCATGGTCCATGCCTCTGGAAAAACCAGGATATAAAGACATTAACCTCTCCTGTTGCTGCTCCCCGTGGTGGCAATCTGCCTCTCTGAATACTGACATGACTTCAGTGTAGCTTCTACATCCTACTTCTGGTTTTACCAGAGCCACATGGTAAACCACTGCAAGAAGTAGAATGTGTTTATTATGTTCCTAAGACTGGAGCTGCAACATAGTGCAGTTGAAGCATTAGAAACTGAACGTGGCTTTGAGCATCAGTGATATGTTTCTTTATCTGCAGGAGTGGAATCCAGATGCAGCACAAACAATAACCCGAAGAGAGAAATTGAAAAAGAATGAAGGAGGCAACACACCCAATGCCAGTGGAGGTGGGGAGGCAACAGCACAAGGAGGAGATCGTGGCAGGTAAGCATGTTAGGTGTTTTCCTGTTTGAGCTGGCCAGGTACTATGTTTAGAGTAGACCTGGGTAGCATACATCAGAATCTCACTGTGGCCAGTTGCCCTGCAGAGTTAGATATATCAGGGATTTATGCAGTAATATCACTACTTATGATGCCATATTCCATTACCAGTGTCAGCAGTTATGAACGTGGCCAAGCCTACGCTGCAGAATGGTCAGACGATGAGGGTGGCAACACTTATAACTCCAATGAAGCCAATGGCGGTGCCAATTCCTTTGAAGAAGAAACAGCTGGGAAAGGTGTGCGTGTACGAGCTCTGTATGATTATGATGGGCAAGAGCAGGATGAGCTGAGTTTCAAAGCAGGTATGGCATAAACAATGATGTGCTCAGATTGCTTAAAGAGTAACGAGGACATTTGTCCTTTTGCAAAGCAAAGATCAAGAGTCTTCTACCAAAAGTGTCTTTTTAAAGAAATTTCTTCCTGAAATGGATGCATTGCTTTAGGGCGTTCAACTCACATATTTCCTAGCCATTGACAAGTTCTAAAAATATACTGAAACAAAATCCAGTAATGGGAGATATAACTTTCCTTTTTTCACCCCTAGTATCATGTTAATACAAGGGTTTGATTCTCTTATATTTATTACAAGTGACCCTGTTCAGTTATTTGTAGTGGAAGCTATAGCTCTCAGATGTGTTGTATCGAGGGCATTTGACCTCATTCAAAATCACACATCCTCTTGCTTCTTCCCACGTGGGTTTTACATATGTGTCTCATCATCAAATACACAACTAGAGCTCAGTGAAGGGAAGCACTGTTGGGAGACTGGGTGGAATTAGTTAGAGAGGGGATATCAGATTGACAGTGTGTTCCCAATTTGTAATTTGTCCTTATTTTCCTAGGTGATGAACTAACCAAATTAGGTGAAGAAGATGAACAAGGGTGGTGCAAAGGACGTCTGGACAACGGGCAACTTGGTCTTTATCCAGCTAACTACGTGGAGTCTATCTAATTCTGTCATGTTCTCCTTGTGCTGCCAGAATTCAACCCACTCCAGTCCACCATCTGTCTATACCAGCCAAGTAGCCATCTTGCTCTTTGGTCACTCACTCAGCACAGTTAGAGTTCCAAACATATTTTCCAATCAAGCTTTTATTTTTTTAATTACATCTCTAAAATGTATTTTGTGGTAGCTTTACTGTTTTAGTTTCTTTAAAATGATGAGATATGAAAAGTCAACACTGTCACTGGAGGGCTTGTTTTGTAAGTGAAAGCCAATATGTCAAGCCTTTAAAGCCTAACCCGTAAGGCTTCTCATTAGTTGGATTTTAAGTATAAAGTGTAGCTAAGGCACCTTCCAATGGCTAATTCTGTCTAAAACCTCTAGCATTTAAGCTCTGGGCAAATCCAATTCACTCTCTTTGAAAAACTGAATCAAGCAAAAATAAGGAGACAGGAAATATACTTTTTTATTTTTCCTTTTTCTCCCACCCCTCTACAGCATGATATTTCTTACCTATTTCTATTCTCAAAAGCAAAAGACAAGATATACTCTGTTCCTTCCAAGAAGTCTCAATCAGAATTTTTGTGCTGTAATAGTCTACATTCCCACTGATCATCCAGAGCACTTGCAGTAACTGAACAACGTGGCACGTGTGGCATGCCATGAATTAAAAGATGTGCTCCATTTCCAATGCCACTGAAAGATGTGAGTTGTCCTCCTTCTGAGTTTAGACAGGGGTGTTGAACCTAAGATGGACACCCAAGGAAACTCATTAGAACTGTACCTCACTGGCTTCTTTCTCTCAGCTTCTTTTGAGGAATTGAACTGCACACCTGGGGACATGAGTGAATGTATCCCTTTGAAATACAGAGATAAATCAGAAGTTTTTGCTATTTCCAGCCTGACAGCAGGACTATGTGGAGATGCAAATCTATGAAAGCTAATGACTTAAATACATTTAAACAAATATAGCACCAGGCAAAGAAACACATTTATTGTGATTTGGTCTTAAAAAAAAGACTCTTAGAGGAAGCACTTTGTGCATTCTTGGGCAGTGGGAATTGAACCTGAGCAAGGACTAATGAAGTACCTTTTTGTAACTTAAACAAAAAGAGGATTTATTAGAGGAAATACATGGGTGATAGACACGCTAACTACATCCTTTCATGTGAGAATCAAGAGAGCAGGTGTGTGCGAGGACAAAAGCAGGCAGAAACTAACTTGAGGTTAGTAGTTTCACAAACCAAGAGTAGGCAGAGTAAGAGACAAACAGGGAACACACAGAAAATTCCTATTTTATTGCCCCTTGGAGTTACAGGTCATGAGGTTCACAGAGAGTCAGCACAACTCTCCATTCCAACACCCTTTTCACTAATTCATTCACCAAGCCACAACTTCCACAACGTCAGTCTTTGAACAAAGGCCTTGTAGGTTCATCTGCCACCATCTCTTTTAATGGGCAGTATTTTAATTCAATTAGTCCTTTTTACTGTGTATCTTGTACATAGAATACTCTGTTTATGTGCTTCATTCTGAATGTAGTCTTCTGAATATTATTGACTTTGGCTCATCTATCCCAAATAGTTTATGTACCTCACAGTCTCTTGGCATGATTGTGCTTCAGATACATATCTGCTTCTGTGGACAACAGAGTAACAACTGCACACCTTGTTAGAGAAACAGCTGCCCACTTATGGACTTACAGCCTGCTTCGTGTTCTGCCCAGTCTGCATCTATGTAACCTGTCGATTTAGGGCTGGTGCTGGCTGAGAGCCTGAGTTCTAGATGTGCTTAAGATACTTGCGTACTCTTTTTGGGTTCTTGCAGCCATCTTTCTACACAGGATTCCAACTGCTGTAGCAATATCTGGTCTTGTAAGTGTGGTTCTATACAGGAGTGTTCCAATAGCAGTCCTGTATTTGTCTGTCTCAAGTAAGACTCATGGTTTGCAATTTGCCTCAGGAAGCCTGATTCCATTAGTGTACTAGCCTCATTGGCTTCAGTCACCCTCAGGCACTGAAGATGATCCCTTATTTTTTGTTTCTGTTTAAGGAAGTAGCTTTCATCCTTCTCCTTTTCTAACTGGGTGCCAGAATGTTAAGACGTGCTACCAGATCTTTCACGCTTATTCTTTGTGGAGGTTCTATACTATTTCTTGTATATCCTTATCTTGGTAGCAGATGATGAAATCATCCACAAAAGTTAAAAAGTATCTTCATCTGTTGTTTTTATATCTGGAATAAAGAGCCAGATCAGCTTTACTTTGTCTGAAGCCTTTTTTTTGTCAACCATCTAATTCAGCTTTTTATTTCAGGTTCTTGCTGCTTGCTTAAGGCCATAGATACTCTTGTGAAGCTTGCACACTAAGTCTTCCTTTCCTGGTTCCTCAAAATCAGGTGGCTGCTCAACACAGATGTCTTCCTTGATTTCTTCATGCAGAAATGCAGTCTTTACACCAAGGTGATGTACCTGCATTTTCCTAGCTGTTGCCATACTGAGCAGTGTTTTTATTGACGTGTGCTTGGCAAAAGTCTCATCATAGTCTTAATCTGTCGGCCTTTTGAGGTAAGCAAGGTCAAGAAACAGAAGCAGCAGGGATTTCAGGAATGTTCTTTATTGTAGTAAGGTAAAAGAACAGAATCTTGAAATCCTGTCAGAGTTTCTCTCCACCATATCGTATGCCAAACAAAATCAAGATGGGGTTATTTTGAGTTATTTTCTCAGGACTGAGTAAACTTTTCTCCTCCCATAGCAGTTCCTTGTTCTCTTTCTAACACCAGGTCTACATTCTTTGCACCATCATATTTTTGGATATATCCCTTAGCCCTCTGACTTGCTGTTGAATTATTAGCACACGATGAAGGTCTCCTTTGAAGCCTATGGATTCAGGTTGTTTATCTGGGCATGGGGAATATCTTTCAAGGTGCGTTCTGAACATCAAAATAAGCAATGATGCATGTTTGTGTGGAGAGATACAGGATTCTTTAGCCGTGCACTACTGTGGGTATTCAAGCAGCGTGCTGTTACCACATCTGCTACTGAATTTGGTCCTTTCTTCTTTTGATTCATAGGCTTACACTTTAGAACCAAATACTCTAATATTGTAATGGGCTGACAAATAACCATAAGTTGGGCTTCCTTCCATGCCGCAACTCACAGGGCATTATATCTGTGGCCTTGTTAGTAACGTTTTCTTCAGATAAGAGGCAGCGGTAACTGCTTCTCTCCAGCAATTATTTGCCAGTCCTGAATCTTGCAGGATGAACTTCATTTCTCTTAGAGAAGTTTTCTCTCTGCCATGCCATTTGTTTTGGGGTATAGAGCATAATAGTCTCATGTGTAATTCCTTGTTTTTTCAGGCACTTTTTCATGCCACCAGCCATGTACTTACCCCCATTATTTGTGTATAGAACTTGGAGCTTTCTGCCAAATTTGTTGCTTACTGAAGACACGTATAACTTGAATTCTTTTAGTAAACTGAGCAAGTAGCAAGTTATATACATCTTAAGTAAATTCTCTGTAAACATGAACAGGTATTTGTTTCTGCCTGAGGTCATTACTTGCGTTGGCCTACAGATGTTGTGTGGGCCAGTTCCAGGGGCTGCCTTGTCTGTTTTTCTTTCCTCTCAGGAAATGGAATCTGACCCCTTTTGCTTTTGTAGAGCAGGGGCATTTCAACTGAGCTGCATGTGGCTGCATTCTCAATCCTTTTGCGAAATACTTAAATTTGTGAATAGCATCTGGGTTCCTATAACTCATTCTTCTGTGCCATAGGCTTTAACAGGTTATGTGACTGCATTGTTTGGCTGCTTTTGCCTTATCCACAGCACAGTCTATTTCAAACAATGCATTTTCTTGGAGGGTGCCTTTCATAATTCCCCATTTTGAGTCACAAGAAAAGGTTGCCTTTAAACTTGACTTCACACCGTTCCTGTGTCATAGACTTGACTGAGAGCAGACTGGACTCCAAACCAGCTGTACAGAAAAAGCATGCAGATTTTATAAATAAATAAACCTAGGACATACAACACACCTTGAATTGTAACACTGGTTTGCTTTCCTTTACTCAGGCCACAAGAGAATCTTGCAGATCTCTCTCTGCTGAAAGGAGTTTTTGTCCTTCTGCTAAATAGCAGGTATCCAGTGACAAATTTAATACATCTTTCATTTTCTTAAACAAGGCTGCACATTGCACAAGAATCCACACACAGTCCCTCCTCTGACGGAGAATGTGAGGTTCTGAGACTTTTCTGTTATTTTCATCATTTTATTATTAACAGTTCATTTTCTCTGTGCTGCAGTGAGTCATGCACTCTCGAATATTGTCAGATAGATTTTCCTTGCTGCTTCTTTCTAGGACAACGGGCTTGCAAATGATCCAAGCCATTACACACGAAGCACCTCTTTTCTTGCAATTGGTTTTGTAAACCAAATCTTGAATAACATTTGATTTTTTCCTGTCCAAGTTACACTGATCAGAGTCTTGCAGATGATAAATTATAAAATTAAGATTTGCCCTGTCTCTCCTCTCTGAGCTGCCATGACTCTGCCATGGACTGTAGTGTCCCAACTTTCTGGTAGGAAGATTAACATCAGAATAACTGACATTTCTGGCTGTGTACACGCCTTTTGTCTCTCAAGTTGTCTGGTCTTTTCTGACATCTCATTCACATGCAGATTTATATCTTGCCCTTCTCTGAGCTGCTTACTGCACAGCCTTGTAAAAAGATGTTCATTTGAAACTGTATACCTTTTATCATAAATATCTGAATTGGTTTTCTAGCTAAATCTTGTAGCTGAACAAGAATAAGATCACTCATTGACAGCCAGATCATTCCAGCTGCTCTGCCATTTGTAGCCTCCCATGGTCTTTGATCCTACCCTGCATTCACAGGTCTTTCTTGGTCCAGTACAAAGGCAGTCACCTGCAGCTTTAGAAGTATTTTCACCTTGGAAGACCAAAGGAAAAAATATGGTCCATCAGACTTTTTCATGGCCTGAAACATTCC